TCAGTAGATCTGAAATGATTTATCCAGTGGTTATTTCCTCCAAATAATGATGCCTTGGGGTTATGTCTTTGAGTAAGGTACTAATCTTGGATAAAATATTAATTGCTAATAATTAGCTATGATCAGATTAGCCCATGCTACAAAACTTATTTTGGTTTTTTTTTAAATTATAAATAGCCCAAATGATCAGATTCTATCATTTAAAGCCCAAGTGATTTTTCAGTTTAAATCGGCTAAATACATTAGAGATACATCAAAAGAAGAGGTTACAAAGACCTGCAATTAGTTTTCTTTCGAAAGCAGCTACTGCCTGGGTAGAAAAGACTTTCCCCTGCCAGCATGCTACAGAGAAAAACCTTGCTCTCTGTGTGGAAGCAGTGGTCTCTCTGCAAAGGTCCAACAAGCTCCCTGTTGAGTAAGAGCTGCAGTAGAGCTCTCCAATCAGCAAAGTTCATGCTTAATGCCAACTAGAGAGCTCTAGCGCTGACTCAGTAGAGGGCATGGCCACTGCTTCTACTCAGAGAGCAAGGGTCATTCTCTGTGACATGCTGGCAGGTGACAGGCTTTTCTACAGGCTGTGGCTACTTTTTAAAGAAAATGAACTGTAAGACTTCACACGTCTTTTGTCTTGTTGCCCCTGGAATGTATTTAGTTGAATTAAACTGAAAGTTCATTTGGATTTTGAAAAAAAGTTGGCACACATAAATGATGAATTCATGCCCCAATGACCTTATTAGCAATGGAAAAGAGAGGAGGTAAGTACTGTATATCTTGATTTGCCTAGTAAAACCTAAAATCACTGAAATTCCGTTAGATTCATTGTTAATTTGTGAATATTTTCTGTATCTTACTATTGTAGAAACTAGACAGGAAAAAAACAAAGCAGGAAACATCATATCTTGTAGCACTGTAGGTTGTATGTGACAGAACATCGTAGGTGTGTGTCTATAATAGCAGTGACCCAGAAAACAGCTATTACTAAGCTATATCACAACATTATAATTAATTGAGAAGTTTCTCCACAGTCAATATTCAATTAATATTTGTGCTGACATTTACAATAATGTATTGAGTGCAGAGGTTGTGTGCATAGAAAATTAAAACTATATATAATCAACAAACTGAGTGTAATGTACTGGCCATAGCATATCACTTTGTTTCTGTACATTTACAGCATAGAATAGTTTACCAAGAGTTTTATTAGCAGAAAATGTTTTGTTTTTTTTACAAGTTGAAACAGCAACTATTAAGACCTATTGATACTGATTCCATTGTGATTTCTTCCTATCCTTTTTCCCCTGTGTTTATATGAGCCAGGTTCTCTTACTGCCAGTGGCAATGGACACATTTGAAAGCAGACATATAGATGGTGCATGCACCGAGTGTAAATACCCATTCAAGAAGTCATCTCTCTTTAGGCATTAGTCAATTCACTTACAACTTCCATGCGCTGCTCCAAATCCCAAGTCCTGCTTCAGCCACAGGCGCTGATTCTGTTTCTGGGTTCTGTAAAATCCACTAATTTGTCAGATACAGATAACTGCAGAACCACACACTGCTTCCTATTATATCAGCAAACCTCATTCTGCAACAAGTTTACAGAGACATTCCACCCATGTCCTCCACTGACTCGTTGTGTCCCTTGCTGGGGCTTAGTTGCAGAGAGCCCCTATAAGCTGCTTGTGCAATAAAGTTTGGTTCCAAGGGAAGCCATATGCAGCTCTGCAATTGTCTTAAGGTGCCACTGTAAAAGGCTTCTTTCATGCATGCAAATTATCAAAGGAAACAACAGTGCTGACGTATAGACACCAATACCTCTGTTTGCCTTCAAATTGTTCCCTGTGTGCCTGTAGAAACCCCTTGGATTGAAGGCCCATGCTATACATTGAACTTTAACTTCTGCCCAAGTTGTGCTAATAGAAACTTTGTCACTAGTTTTTTTTTTCAAATTGACAATTTTTATTAACTTTTATAATTACAAGAATTACAGAGATGACAAAAGACACAAAACAACGACTAGTACAACACGCGGACCATATCCATGGAAGCAATGTATAGCAGCTAACTGTGCATAGTTAAATCCCATACAAAGTCAAATCCTTATCCAGGGAAAAGACATGCAACCATCATGTAATGTCACTAGTTTGCAGAAAATATTTTCAAAATATTTAAAAACTAAAGAGTTTTTATTCCCCTGCCCCATTTAATTTCCACTGTCTTCAAGCACTACACTCACTGAAGCAGAGGCTCTGCCATGTGATAGCTGAATGGCAGGGCATGGGACTAGGCATCAACAGGGTGATGTCTTCTGAAGTAGAGGCCCCATGTACACCCTGAGCCAACGATCTAAGGGGTTCCACAGGGACACAAGGATCAGTTTGAACACTGACACTGGTACCTGCACCAGGAAATATCTATTTTTCAGGATTATTGTTACTATAGAAACATTCAGGCCAGGTCAGGTTCATCTGGAATCTGGCTGGTTTAAGTAAAGCTGGTCAAACATGGCCAGAGACTGTCACATAATAAATCTAATTGTCCAATAATCATTTTATGTATGGTTCACAAATAACTGTACTGGAAGTTTGAAGTCTGTAGTGACTACTATTGGTGTTGCTAATGCTCGAGGAAGTCATCCCATAGCTTTTCATCTGTGCTGATCACACAGAGATAAATAAAGATATCCATATTCTTACAATTACTGATTTCTAAATAATACCAAGGGGTCACTCTGCGTACACTTAGAAGTGGATGTGCATGTCAGGGGGACATAGAATCAATCCAGGGTCTACGGTTTGGGTTGCAGGGGATCAGACGCTTGTATGTATAGTCAATTAACTGCACATCATTGAGCCACACATTTTATTTATTTCAGAGACAATACTTTGTTTCAGAAAATAAAATTGTTCAAGGGAAACTGTCAGTCAACCATTGTTTCGCCAATTTTAATACAATAGATAGAGGAATACATAGGTATTCTCTAAAAATGTTTTAAAAGTATGCATAAATAATACAACTATGACAAAAAAACATGTTTAGCAGCAATATGAAAGGGTAATACAATACTCCCAGCAATATAAATAACATTAAATAGAACTGCAGCCAAATATTAATTTTCGCATATTATAAGGCGAGTAAAGATTAGAACCTCTGTTGTATTTTTATTAAGCTAAAGCTTTTATGAACAAGAAATCTTAGCCTGTTTCTATGCCCATTGACGCTCTGTCCCTCCGTTAGGGTTGAGTGCTTGCTCTACCCAAGTACACACTTAGTGTACCCGTTGGGGACATCCACCCTCACAATTTCTCTTGGTGACTATTGCCTCTAGAGCAAAAAGTAAAGATAATGAGGGATAATCTAAAAATTTGCATTGAGGATATCTTCTAATGCTGAAGCCTGTACCGCTGATTTCTGTAAGAGATGAGATCTTCCCTTACTTATACTGCAGATATTTTCACTGACTTCCTGCATCCTGTATCTCTGCGACAAGTGAAGGGAAATCTTCCAAACTGGGATTCAGACAGCAATAAAACCTGAGAGAGGTTCCAATCCTTCCACACTTTAACCTAAAACTGAAAGAAAAACATTCAGTTCTACTTTAAATTGTCACTGTTGCTATACAAAACTAATTGAAGTATGACTTCCCTTTAAAAAGAACAAAATACATACTTGATTTTCCCATCAAATGCTGCACCGATCCTGAAAATGTCTGCAGGAATCCTAACACTTAAAGGAGTGTCAATCTCTTAGGTCACATACAGCTCCTCAGCTGTACCTCCTGCTGACCTGTAGGTAGGTGCAGTACGGCCAATGGCCACTAGATGCCCCCATAGGATCCTGGAGGTAGATGTAGCTCTGGCCTGGGAAGACTCTGTGTCCCAGGAGGGCAAATATATGGGGGGCGCTAGAGAGGAGAAAGGAGAGAAAGGGAGAACGATAGGCTGATCCTGATTTAGCTGCTGGTCCATGGGAAGGACAGGACCAGGCCTAGGACTATGTAGAGTATATTGAGATTCCCCAGTTTTCCCTGGAAGGGAAACAACCGTGATGGGACTGCCTAGAAGGGGATCCCTGTGGATAGTGAAGTGCTATGTGCTGAAGATGCTTGTCTGATGGCCTCTGGCCGGCGCAAACCATGGACTCTGGGCTGCACCTGGGCTTGAGCTCTCTCTGACGATGACCGCAAGAATTGATAAGAGATGTGCCGTCACCCCACTCGGGGGTGGCTGAAACGTATGCTTTGTTCTGTTAATACCTTCAAGTAAAACAAAGAAAAGACTATCTGTGTGGACGGGTTCTTCTCCCTCCAACCACTGAGAAGGTGGGGTTCTACAAGAGATGTTATTGGACTGTATCGTGGCCGTAACCATCCTGAGGAGGGTATGTGTGCAAAGGGGCTATGCCCGACATAGGGTGCCTTTCATGGTGGCCTTTCTTCCTAAGGGGGAGGGAGCGCCGAAGACCACAGAGGCGGTGGAAGTCATGAAGGCCCTGTACGGTGGAAGCCATGTGCGCAGTACTACACGTGTGGGAGTTGTTTGCACGAGGCCAGAGCTGAGGCCTCTGAGCGTGGGGTGCCTGGTGTTGTGTTGCATGCACAGAGCCAACCCAAAGGGAACTCACACGCAACACCCCAAGAATGAACCCCGCCTACAGACCTCCATGTCATAACAGGGCTCTGTAGTGACATGGAGGCCAGCAGGAGGGACCAATAAAAAATGTGGGGGGACCCAAAAAATTCACAATCTGCAGCAGATTTCAGCAGAAGATTTCTCAGGATCAGAGCAGCATACAGCAGTATGGGCAGCCGAAAATGTGAGTATTTACAGTCTTTTCTACAGGTATTCCTTGCTTCAGCTACTGTGCATAGCAACAGGGTCACTTTAAGCTTCGTGTCAAGTATATCTTTATGTAAGCAGCATGTAACAATTACAGGTCCATCCTAAAAATGATCTAAAAAGGAACCCAAGCTCTCTAGCAGGCAGTCAGGGAATCAGCTGTTACTTCTCATGCCCTTGCAAAGGTTCTTTCTGTGTGATGATCTGATAGAGAGTTTCTCGGAAATGTTTATCCCTGGTTACATTTTTGGCAGCTTCTTTCAGACTCTGGAAGTCATTTAGCTCATCCGGAGACATCAAGAAGGAATGCGAGTGCCTCACTGCAAAAGAAGACGAGAATCTGAATATTAAAGATGCAGTGATCATTGGGGTACATATAAATGCTTGCGGCAGTGTGTTAACAATGCAGCATGACTTCCCTCTGACTACACTGTGCCCTTGCTGGAAATTGGTCTAATCAAATCTCCAATTTAACTAAATGCTTATTGTACATTTATGTAAATGTATGCTTTGGTAGAGAGCACTGTGATTTTGCAGGGTTCGGGCAAAGATTGCATGGGTTTTGTGTACATGATAATGAAAATACCACATGCATTAGGCTTTTGTGAATTGAGCCATATGTGGTTTGTGGTTTGTGCAAACATTTGGGCAGTCTTTCAGTTCCTCCACTCACATTATTCTTTGTAAGGTCTCAGAATTTACATAAGGTCTCACATTTACATTGCAGATTAATATAATCCTCAAAATGAAAAACATTCTTTGACACTTAGAACCTTATTTACACGCAACACCCATGTGCTTATCTGACCAACCATGTGAGGAACTGAAAACAAAGATTTATGCACAACAGAGAAAAGCTATACAAAGTTATCTAAACCAGTGTTTTTCAACCTTTTTTGTGCAAAGGCACACTTTTTTCATGAAAAAAATCACGAGGCACACCAATCTAAACTGTCCTGAATGACATTTCCTATAATGGCAATAAGAAACAAGACACTGTTTGAATGAGCACAAGGTCCGAATGGTGAGGAAAAATCTGCAGAGAACAGTTTATAGACTGGGCAGGGGTGTAAAGCAAAGCTTCCATTTCACTGCAACGGACCTCCAGGAAGGTTTAACTGGCTTGGCAGAAGCAATGCAATGGTCCATTTTCTAACATTGCTTACCCAGACATGGCCTGCATGAATGAGTCATCAGAAAGGAACACTGATTGCAGTGTTAGTATAAAATCCAAACATCTATAGTACATAGCATAACACTCAGATAAGCCATAGATGTTTTGGAACCAAGGACTGTGGTCTGTTGAAACTAGAAATGACGATTTGTCTATATTCACAACAAGGCGATGACAATCTTCAAGGGTGTAACTTCAGGAAAACAACTGCTATGGGATTTTAAAGCAGGTAGAAACCAGAGCTGTCTGGCTACATAGTGATTTATGATGGCAGCCGGTCTGTTTCAAATGCAGATATATGCAATGACATACCTCCTAGACCAGGGGCGCCCACAATTTTTCATCTGGAGATCTACTTTTCTATTGACGAGCTCAATGAGATCTACCAACGAAAAAACACCTGCATTCAGGGGCGGGAGGGGGCATGGTGGTGCATTGAAGTCAATGGCACAGCAGCCACGCCCCTCAGCCGCAGTGCGATCACCCGCACCCAGAACGCAGGCACGAAAGTGCCTGCGTTCTGGTCCAGTGCAATCTGCAAAAATGCTGCAAGCCTTTTTTTTTTCAGATCGCACTGGACCAGAATGCAGGCACTGATGTGCGGGCGATCACACTGTGGGTGGGGGGCATGGCTGCGGTGGCATTAACTTCAATACAACCCCACACCCCATCCCGCCCCGTAATGCAGGGAGTCGGCCGCCTTGCATTCCAGTGCGTTCTAGAGGCGCCATGCGTCCTGTCCTCCCGTGGTGCTCGTGTGGCCGACGTTGCACACGGGGAGAGGTGTCCTGCCCCTTTCCCGGCAGCCACACGAGCACAGGCAAGAAAAAAAAATGTGCCCCCCCCCCCCCCCCCCCAACAGGTGTGTGACATCACCCAGCGCCCTGCCTCCAGGATTTTGTATTTATTTTGTATTATTTCTAATTTTTTATTTTAATTTGGTTTTACTGTTGGGGGGGCTTTGGGGAATTATTAGCGGTCTTAACAGCCCCCTGATATTTCCCTTTTAAAATAGAAAAATAAATTGAGGACACAGAGACCTCAATCTCTTTTTCTGCAGCCTCTGTTCTAAAAGAATGGAAAGCACACAGGCTTCCCATTTATTCAGAAACTATTTACTATCATCCAGTTTCTGAATGGGGAGGAGCCTTTGTACAGAGTGCTCCTCCCCATTGAAAAACTCATGAATGAACAGGAAGTGATGTAAAGCACTTCCTGTTCATTCATAACTGTGGACACATAGCACTATGTGTCCCCAGTTATTTACAAACACTTGAGTGATCAGCTGATCGCTCCAGTGTTTGTCCTGCACAGAGGATTGATACATAATCACTGATATGTACCGATCCTCCGCCGCTCCGCCACGCACACAGTCTGCAACTTCTGCTCTGGATCCCCCGCTGCTCTCCCAGGAAGAGGCAGCAGGGGATCCGAGGAGAAGTGAAGGAAGCACGTGGAGGGAGTGGTGGAGGGAGCGGTGGAGGGAGCCGCTGTCACAGCAGCATATGCTGTGAGGAGAGAGAGCCGCCGGCTGTCAGATCCTTGCCATGCGGGCTCTCTCTCTCTCCTCACTGCTCCGCCATGCTGCTGTGATAGCGGCTACCTCCTCCGCCCCACCACGCAGCCGGATGCAGCGCTTTCTTCTCTTCTGCTCGGATCCCCGCTGCATACAGATGGGGATCCAGAGGAGAAGCCCCACGGCAGGAGGACAGGACATCGCGATCTACCAGTGATCGTTTTACAATCGACTAGTAGATCGCGATCGACCTAATGGGCACCCCTGTCCTAGACCCAATCTGTGTGGACAGTTTGTGTACCTGAATTGGCAGAATCCACAGGCAGTGGGCAGCGTGGCTACTGGATTGACAGAAACAACAGGCAGCTAATAAAAAGACACAAAAGCTGAATCCAACATCAGATGAGTGCAGTACAGAGAATGTTTTCCAGTCTATTGAAGTGCAAAAAATCAATGAGGGGAATTAATAAAAAGTATCTGCGACAAGTTCTTTCTCAAATGGTTCAGTTGCCCATAGCAACCAATCAGCTTCTAGCTTTCATTTTTTTCTACAAATTCAGAAAATGAAAATGTAAAAGCGGATTGGCTACACCTCAGCTGAGACAAAGTGTTTTGTTTATAATAATATATTAGTTTAATAATTCTTCCCTGATAAGTTTCCAAAGCCCTGTCTCCACAGTGGAAAGTGAAACTAAGCTGAGTGAGGCAGAGAGTGTCTAGGGAAAGGCAGACGTCTGCCTTTCCCTGGACAAAGTCTGTATGATGAAACGCGTCGGAACTAGGTTCAGGCACGAACTGAGGTTACCCCTGCATGAAGTGCTAGTGGAGATCATCAGTTCTGACCTCGCTCCTAAGAATCAGTCGACTGTTTGTTTGCTACATGCTTATACACTATGGCCATCTTGTGTGTGTTTCTTTTTATCCCTTATTAAACTTGATGTGATGTACTTTCTTTTTTGGGTACGTTGATAGTCCTGTGTGGCATCTTGGAGGAATAGCCTTTCCGTTTATCTGAGGATCGCACTGCCAGCCATTCTGATTTATATGAATCATTGAGAGATCTGGATTTATTTGCCTAATATCTAGGAGGAATTGCTTGAAGGATCCTTTTGGACCAGATGATTTTATAAAGATCACTTATTATCCTCTTATATATACCGCTCACGTTTTTTTTTTTTTATAAAGATTAAAAGTTTATTTAACAAAACAAAACACTTGTCATCAGTTGCTTGGTCACATGCGATTGTACAGTATAAGGACAAGGTGTTAGATAGCAAAAATATAAAACAGAGATGTAACAAGAGAAATTTTTTTTTCAATAAAATAAAATCTATAAGGTATGCTTGGCTAGGGTGCGCCTGGAGAGATCCGGGATTAGAGATATTTGGGCGCCATCGAAATCCAGGAATCTGGCGGATTGAGCCTTAGTCAGGATTTCGGATTTCAGGCCAAAAAAGTGTACCCTGCAGAGCACGTCCCGGGGTTGTGGGTTGTTGGGTCTACGAAATCCTGGAGTGCGATGAACTCTATCGATTTCGATGTGATCAGTCACTGGTCTGTTCAAGATAGTATTAAAGATCCCCATGACGGAGGCTAGGAGGTCGGAGTCACCTGTAGCCTCGGGCAGGCCGCGGATCCTGATGTTATTGCGGCGGCTACGATCCTCCAGATCATCAAGGTGGGTATATAGGTCAGCAATATGGGAATGTTGGGCAACGACCACTGAGCGGAGCTCCTCCACAGCAGAGGTAATGGATGGGAGGGTAGATTCCACAACGTCTAAGCGAGAGTGGAAGGATTGCAGGCCCTCGCGGATCTCTTTCATGTCTGCCTTATGAGCAGATTCCAGTCTGGCAAAGAGGGCCTCAATGTCGCTTTTAGTGGGTAATTGCTGGAGGCAGCCCTTGAGAGCCGGGGGAAGCATATCCCCGTCCATGTCCTCATCTATATCTGACCCGGCGGGATCCCTGGGGGAGGATGTGTGGCCTGACTGTGTGGACTCACATGTTGATGAGGTCGGAGCTCCACGAGGGGGTCCGGCGGCCATCTTGGATTCCGGCTGCAAGTCCGGTGGCCGCTGGAAGAATGGCGGAATCCTCTGTGTGGCGGCGGATCCCGAGGTCTTCGGTCTCGTGCCGGTTATGCGGGGAGTGTTGCGGCCCATCAGGTATCACTTTGGTGAAGCAAATCGGTTCGGGGAAGGTGATTAGCGGGTCGGCTGCGGGAGCTCTCAGTAGACGCGTCTACACAGGTCCATCGGCAAGCCCCGCCCCTTCACGTTTTTGTTTTGTTTCTGTTTTTTAGGAATTATTGAAATCTTATGTCTTATTAGTTTGATGAGTGGATTTTTTACACGAACACTGTGTATGATTTTGTCACTTTCTATATGGACATTTATGAGAATGTTTTTTATGTTCTAGTGCGATTTTTTCTATTTTTAATATTTATTATTAGCACAATTCATTTAGGATTATACATTTGTATTTTTAGATTGGATTAATAGCGCAGTGTATCATTATTCACCTATTATCACTTTATTAGCACTGCAGCTTGCCCACTTTTTTTATTGTTAGTTCTACTATTAGCGCGGTGTACCACCTTTATCCATTTATCAGAAGATATAACTGTAC